GGTATGCAGTACACGAAGTTCTATCGTCCCTGATGAAGTTGCTTGCGCCCCGAGGCCACAATGTTTAGCCCTGTTGCGTTATCACCACTACGAAGATGTATACCAAAGTACTAGGTTCCCTTTCTGGTAAACTAATCGAAATGTTGCTCCTTAACTCGACTGACAGCAGTTCTTCCTTTTGGTTCCCATCGTTCTGCTTTTTCATGATTTTCCAACCAGAAATTTGTGGGGAAACTGTGAAACAGTGTATCCTTATGTGAAGGTAATCTTAGAGGTACTGTAAGGCGTACCGATTGAACGTTGAGTGACACGTAGCCAGTGATCACGAAATCGAAACCAAGTTGGATCGCAACAATTACAGTACTAATGAATCACATACATTTACATAAATCGGACAAGCTCCGATTGTTCCGGGTCCCGGTGTCTGCGTCACCGACACTTGCAATTCCACAGATGGGCAGGAAACCGATGCCACAACCGCTGAACGCGGACAATCAACGTAAGTGGTCACACGAAGAGTTGTGAGCTTAGCAGTAAACTACTGGCCACTCATAAACGGCGCAATCACAGTGAGGTAAAGGTGTACAATGAAATTAACACACATAGAAGGCGATAACAGACCAGGTGCCAGGCGGGGTTACAATCCACAGAGATCAAATGAGGTCTAGGGAATGCAAGTGTAAACGACGGTGGTCGAAAAAAACCGTACACAAAAACGCGTACACGGGAAATTTCACGCTCGTAGAATGGTGCACACTGTATATGGCGAACACGGAAATACACCAGTTTGATCGCTTTGTACATAAATAACAGCCCAACGTGCCAAACCTCCATGACATTCAGAATATTCAACAGAAAGGACCCTGCTCGCCTACTGCATTTTGCCGAATCCTCAACGGTTCGGGGGCTCTAACGCACTTGATGTGACCAGACCGATTTCGTGGCTAGCGTAGCCTTGGTTTAATGAGGTTGGTGACATCGTCAGATGATTGATAGCCATTTTCTCACAGTGGTACTGCAGTTGGAAGGATGCCCACCTGGTAAATTTCCCACCCCGAAAATCGCTTGAACGGCACATTTTCAGCAGTCTGCAGTTGTATCCGGTTTGTTTGAGTTCAATCTGTACCATTGTACTCGAGTTTACTTCTCCCGATGCACAATTAGATGACCGATGAGAAATGTGGACTACCAGTTCAAGGCATTGTAGTAAACCGAAAAACACGCCCACGGTCGGATCCTTCGCACATCTGCGACACGCGCTGCCATTCCCGCTTCCCGAACCAGCACGGTTCACCGGTGTCACAAAATAGGGGACACCAGTAAAAGCGTGCCCCTTCATGATTCCGTTCTTTTGGACTGATATTTGGGTCTGTCGCCATAAAATATTCACGAACTCAGTCTGGTCACACCAAGTGCATTAGAGACACCGAATCGCTGAGGCTTCGGCAAAATGCAGTAGGCGAGCAGTGTTCTGTCTGTTTAACTATTCTGAATGTTATGGGGATTTGACATATTGGGCAGTCGTTTATGTACAAAGCGATCGAACTGGTGTATTTCCGTGTTCGCCGTATACCGTGTGCACCATTCTCCGAGAGTGAAACTTTCCGTAGACGCTTTCATCATGAAACCGTAAACGACTGATGAACCACGACACCAGGGTCTGCGTATGAGCGTATCAACTAACTAACAATGTAAGCACACGCGGTGGGGGAAGGGAGAATAACTCCGGGTTATCTGAGGACACGGACAGCGTGTAGCGTGATTCTCGCAGTGGAGAAGGAAGGTCATGAAGCGGAACGAAAAGTAGGGTGCACGTGATGACCAATCGACGCTAAACTCCGCTACAGGTGCTTTCCCACAAGCACTTCAATCCCTACGGGGTACCACCGCAGGGCACGAGTTCTTCAGTATTCTGCCTGTAGGCTGGCGCTCTCATACAGATAAACGCTGTTATGCGTGAGGCTGTTGTTCGACTTCGCCAATCTTGAAGTAGTAGACATCATCAATGACTTAGTGTGGAAAAATATCTTCCTTTATCTAAATTTCGCGATCTTTGTTTGTTGCAGTCTAACATTCCGAGACACAAGTGCGCAACTAAGCCTCGATCGTAACACCCATCACTTTCGTTTTCACCACAAATCTAACGCTGGCATGAAAGAAATACCGTGTTCTAAATATCCAGCCCTCGTTTACAGGTCCCAGATTCATCGAAGCGACACATTTCATACCATTTATCCACAGAGATCTTACGTTTACTGCGGCGGACATCAAGCTGACCGTCTCCACTTTTCTATATTTTGCCTATACAGAAAGTCTTCCGTAAACCCTGTATATATTTCTTTAGATGTACGTATGCTGACAGTGATTTTCTACAGCATGTGACCTTCAGCTTTGAGTTACCTTATTTGTTTCAAGGTGAGTTGAAGAAACATTGAAATAGTCACAATCCAAGTCCGTTACTGTTAAGCCTGTTACATTGCAATAGTGTACTAAACTCATGCCGATAGGTCGACTGTTGTTGTAAACATTTCCCCTTTTTATGACTGTGGGCGAGGGTATCATACCTAGTTCATCCGCTGTCTAGCATCTTCTTGGCACAAATTTTTATCTTGGCTAATGCGCACTTATGCAACCTTTTTTCGTATCCAAAGATTGTCCTTCCGTTTCCTCTGATTTTACTAATAATGCCCTGTAGTTTAATAATTTGGTTCACGATCGCATGCACTCTCGAGTGGTTTTAAAGCTCTCCTATCATCTACCCCGGACCTCTTCAAAAGAACTGTAACTCGGTGAAATACATTTATACATGTAGAGACCTATCTAGAGAGTTGCTCGTTGATTGTATTGCTTAACGGCATTTAAATATATGTATAAAATACACAATGACCGGTCTCATCTAGTGTGCACTCACTCATCACTAACGCAGTCTGTTTCTTCTACCCAGTCAGTATTGAAAGTTTTATTTTCCAACACTCCTATATCATAATTTCATCTTTCCGTGCCTACCGCGTTTGATTGTCGGCGAACCATTTCTGCAGCGACATGCTCCATTTTGACATTGGGTAGATACCCTCTTTCAGTTCATCCGCAGCTATAGTATGAACGCTATGGTCTATGTATTACCCACATCAAAGGTTCCTAGTAATCTAAGCAGCCAAGCTTCACCTCAGTCGGAATCAGATTGCATGCCGCAACGTGTACTTCAAAATGACCCTCCAATCAGTCATTAACCGTTGTGCTAAGCGTTCCCCATCGTAACCCTTTAGTCCAAAGGGGAGCAATTTCGGTTACTATTCCAATGGTCCTGGGTTCGAAGCCTGCTATTTCCACCTGATGAGACCACATCAGATCGAAACGCGTCGTGCGTATGTAGTGTTTTCGGGCCGTTAACACCCAATTCCCATACGCTTCAGGTACCTTCCTAGTGATCGAATTGGCCAAGATTCACTGCAACGCAAATCACGGTCCACATTGGAGTTGCGCGTCGCAATACATTCACACATCGGGTACTTCGAAATGATCAATCAATATCACATACTTAATTGTTTATTTGTTTAGCATAATCCTCATGTGATAGGAGGAAAGATTTCTGTCGAGAAATGTATTCTCATTTACTTTTGTATCGATTTCCCCCTGAATTCACTCATCTTTCTTCAGGAGAATATATTCCTGCTCACTACGAGTACGATTGGCACTGCTCCAACATATTTATCGGATGTAACAAATGTAATCGTTTTAGAATGGGAAAGGCTTCGATCATTTCTGAAAACCATCAACTTAAACTACTGGTATTTGAAGTCTGCTCCTGAGTATTTTTTGTTGGTGTATCTCAACTCGAAGAGATGCTATAGAATTGTGTCAGCGCGTATACGACCGTGCATCCATCATGCACTATCCACTTATAACTTAGAGGAGCCGCTCCGGTCACGTCAGAAGCGAACAAATTTCCCTCTTTTCTCCTATCCTATTCACGAAACTGTATTGAAACATTTTATTTCTCTCTTCCTAAAGCCAAAAGCTCGTTATACTGTCGGATATGAGCAATTCCGCCAGCTGCTTGAAAACGCGCACTTCCAAACCAACTAATTTCCAGAACAGATATTTCGTTTTACGAATTGCATTTTCAGCGTGTATGTCAACGTGCATTTTGCTTCCTAACTAGCTTTGCAATAATTCCGGACGTGCCCTACTCTATTCTTTTAAATACTTTTTCGATATTGTCTTTAAAGAGCAATAGCGTGTCATAAGAATTACCGAGTTCTACTTTACTGGCTACCATATTCCGATTGCAGTTTCTAAAACACTATTTGTGAGACACTCTCATTCAACCCTGACCTCACCACGATTATCGGTACGATCTTTGCACATGAATTAAAGCAGTCAACCAACTCGTTTGTTAGTTTTTTGTCTTCACAAGATGTCTTTTCTCCATTGTATCCTGTTTCAATATTTTCCATGGCAGCGAAACCCATCAGATATATTTGTCGGCGTCGAATACGCGATCTTAATCTGAGGTCGCGGGTTCGGGCTTTCTTAGAGGACCGAGCGACCATCGCGGTATCCTTTGCCCACGTGTGACTACTGGTGGTTACGCAGCAGCGAAGTGTCGGTACTACGGATTCCTTTTGTTTCTTCCAACTCGGATTTCTAGATTCTCATGGATTTCAGCACATGTACACTTGGCCTTAGTCAACACTACTATTTCTATCGATCTATCGAAACCTACAGTTTTTGCATGTTCTAAACTCACATGTGCCCCGGAAACAGTTAAGTGTTAATTGTGACCTGTTTCCGTCAGTTTATTCTCCTGATAGAATTTGTAACAAGACGGTGAAAACGGCGATGCCAAGCTTGTAGAATCTCATTCACAACTTGATCCAGGTGAAAGTTACCGTTTTTCTTAATTTACGAAAGCCATTTGATTAAATATCGGGCGTGGTCCTTGAACAAACAAATCGACTCGTCCTATATTATGCCCATTATTATCTTTTATTTATTAGGCTTCATTCTACTCCAATACGCCTGCGTTTCGGCCGCACCCAATGCAGCCCACTTCCCGGACAAATTCCAACGATATTGAAGAGCAGTTGGAATCTATTGGGACGGCTAATCCATCAAATCCACCCTCGCAAGCGTATCATCTGCCCAACGGTTCTGATGCCTCTGTTCAAGCGGCCGCTACTACAGAGGAGGAACAGGCCGAAGACCCTCAAGAATGTTTTTACTCCCTACTTCTTACCTCACAATCTCGTCGAATGGATGAACAACGCTGTCAGTTACGCGCAGCTCCTGTTTCCCTGTCCTGCAATCGGCGTTCCGAACCCGTTGAAGCTGCGGAACAGTCTGGTTCCACCGCCTCCATGCATGCAGAGGCGGTTCCGGACGAAGCTCTGTTCGATCTTATCGAAGGAGTTCAAGTAAGCCTGCAGTCAACTGATTATCATGTGTGCATGTTTATCACACTCTCCTGCACGTAATTCTGCTCCTTTTTTGACTCCGACTAAATGGTCATTTGATGTAATTAGGGAAGACAGTTCTGCCAACGGACGATGCAGATAAACGACAGAATTACGCTTCTCTTCGCCCCATTCCAATCACGTCATCTTGCGTTGAGCATGTTATCTGTCAGCTCGAAACTCGTAGGTTTATTTGCTTCATTGGCCAATTCATTAATTTATCCAGGCTGTTGACAAGCGATAATCGACCAAGTAGACTAGTTTTATGCCATTAATCGGAGAGCTCTTTAAAATAATAGCATATGATCGGCAAACAATCAAGAGCAAATCGGCTTTCATCAGTTATGAGCATACCGCAGTTCTCCCTTTTTGATCGTCTCCATTGCACTTTCTCCGGTCCTAATCCAACCATTGTGGACAACCGGTGGGTATGGAAATTGGGTTTGATGGGGTTTGGGAGCCACTCAGTAGTTTATGAGCTGGTTCCACCAAACAGGAACTAAAGAGAATACTGGAAAGACACCGGAAAGATGTGTAGTTGCATCTAAAATCATTCAGTTACAAATACCTGTTATGTTTGCGTGCCTTCGCGATATTTCTTATGGACATTGTGTTGCAATGGTTGAATCGAGGTGTGAATCCTACCTAAACCACATGTGTGCCCATACAGGCGATATATGAACGACACCTTGGTGATTACCCCAAGTGTAGCGACTGTTCAGTCGCTTCTCAGTGTCCTCAACAATGCACTTCTTAACGCTCGTTTCACCTCTGAGCTCGAAGATAACAATTGTCTTGCTTTTCTGGATGTATTGTTGACAAGACGAGACGATGGCTCAATAAAACGCTCTGTTTACAGGAAAACTACATGGACAGGCCTATATGAGAACTTCAATAGCTTTGCGCCGGTCCAGTACAAACGTTGCCTTGTCAAGACGTTGTTCCATCGCGCCCGTAGAATAAGCAGTGCTGACTGTGTTGAGTCCGAATTATCGTTCATCACACAGACACTATGGGCCATTGGATATCCCGAGGCATTCATCAGATTTCGCAGTCACCCGAAGGAAAACACACCAATTCTTACTGTGCCCAAAATGCCCGTCTAGTTACAGCTACCCTTCAAAGGTAATGTGGTGACGGCGCAAATTGAACGACTAGTGAACACAACTATTCGCCGTACATTCAACACTGCCAAACTCTGCTGTCTGAACAACCAGAAAGCTGCCGATGCCCCAATCAAACCTACTCAACCGGTCTCCGCCACAACTCATTGCATTTACCAATTCGTCTGTACCTGCGGAAGCAGTTACGTAGGCAGAACAGATTGTTGTCGTAGTAAGCGGTTTGGGGAGCACATTTCAAAGCGAATTGCTGAGCTTATGGCACTACAAGCAACCGGACAAAGAGCAGCAGGCAAGCAGCCGACATCATCCATCGCTAGACATCTAATCAGTACAGATCATCAAGTTTACCCTCGGCCAACTTTTACGGTTAGCTACCGAAACGAAAACGCCAGGGTGCTGAAGTTTACCGAGGCTGTGTCCCTAAATCGCTATCGTCCCACCCTTTATGTACAACAGCAACTGACAATAGGCCTAGAACTTCCATGGGGTTCATGACCTTTGCCCCAGCGCCACCAGTTATTGTTTTGTGTTTGTGTGCATTTTTTCTGACCAATTCAAAACGATCGTTTCATTCCCGTACATCAGGGTTTCCCAACCTGGAGGTAATTACCCCCAAGGGGGTAAAATGGCATTTTCCGAGGGGTAAATACCGATAATTGGATTTGGTCACAAATCAGTCGCGAAATAAGCTTAGTAACGAAATCACACATCGCAACTAGCTCAGCATTTTTAGTTAGCCTTCAGTCAATGCAGCTACTACGGCATGGCGCCTTTGTCGACTGCCACAACTGCTGCCGTGTTTTCGAATAAGCCAGTCTTTCACCGTGTCGAATAACGGGGTGGATAGCAAACTATCGTTTCAGCACTGGTCAAAGTACCAGTTATGTTCACAGGTGAATGTTTGACAGTAGGAACGGCGAGAAAGGGTGATTAGTGTTCACAAGGTATGGATACAGAATGGTGTCGGGAAAATGTCGAGAAATAACGTGGAATGGAGGAATGAAACACATGTTCATGTTTGATTAGGAATCAGACACGATGGGGTCAAGAGAGGGCCTGAATCGGGATAACGGTAGGCGTTTGAAAGGGCAGAGAAACGATACAATTGGGGTCACAACCAACACAAAATCAGCAGATTGGACGCCAGTGACCATTAGGTGTTATGTTGATCACTTTCATGAGCAGTTGTTTTTGACGAGAAGTCATGGCAGGTGAGCATTTTCATTCAGTGGCTTTGATGCCGACAAAAATATATTTGTCTGCGAACGTTTGCGATAATGTCACCTGCATGGAATAACGAGATTAATTTCTATAAATGAAATGTATCTATAACACCTACCTACTTAATTGTTTGCAGGGAATACGTCTTCCAGAAAAAAGCGGTCCTACAAAGAAGCATTTCTGCAGTGGGGCTTCACTAACTTCGCTGATAAAAATGTTGAGAAACCGCAATGCGTTTTGTGCAGCAAAGTGCTCATGGCGGAGAGTATGAAACCTAGTAAATTGAAAGAGCACTTCGAACGAAGCCATGCCCATTTGATAGGAAAATATATTACATTCATTAGAAGGAAAGAAGCTGCGCTAAATCTTTCGCGCCTGGATACATCGAGCTCCTTTTCTCAGGCAAATGAGGATGGCCTTGAAGCTTCGTATCGCATTGCGCTTCGAATCGCCAAAAACAAGAAGCCGCATACCATAGGAGAGGACCTCATAAAACCTTGCATAATGGATGCGGTTAAGGTCGTTCTTGGAGAACATCATGCGGAGAAGATTAATATGATATCACTTTCGAACAACATCATCAAATGTCGTATCGAGGACATGAGCAAACAAATTTTGAACACGGTGCTCAACGAAATAAGATCAAGTCCCTTCTTTGCAATCCAGTTAGATGAGTCGACCGACGTAGCGTCCTGTTCCCAACTACTTGTGTATGTTCGGTACCTAAAAAGTGATAGCTTCAAAGAAGAGTACTTGTTCTCAGAATCCTTGAGCACGACTACGCGTGGCGAAGATGTCTTCCGAATAGTAAAGAAGTTCCTCGAGGAAAACATGCTACTGTGGTCGAAGTTAGTAGGTGTCTTTACAGAAGGAGCACCAGCCATGTTGGGCGTCCGTTCCGGATTCCAAACATTGGTCAAAAATGTTGCTCCGCACGCTACCTTTAGTCACTGCATCATACATCGTTATGCTTTAGCAGTGAGCACTCTTCCACCTGCTTTACTTGACGTGTTAACCAAAGTAGTAAAGATAGTAAATGTCATCCGCGGTAGTGCGACCCACACAAGAACCTTCAAAGAGTTATGCAATGAATTTGGAGGCAAATTCGACGTGCTACTATTGCACACAGAAGTGCGTTGGTTGTCACGAGGCAGGGTGTTGCACCGAGTGCTTCAGTTTCGAGAGGAAATTGTAATCTTTCTTCGAAGAAAAGAGATGCATAAGGGCAAGGAAAACGAGTTACACGTTATTATAACGGACAGCGTGTTTATCTCGAAACTTGCTTATTTTGCTGATTTCTTTGGAGAAATCAATGCGCTTAACCTCAGCCTGCAAGGGAATATGATGAACATTTTAGTCGCTCAGGATAGAGTAGCCGGTTTCCTTTGCAAACTGCAGCTTTACCAGCGCTCGGTTGATGTTGACGACGTGGCGATATTTCCAGAACTAACGACGGTGCTCGTTGAAAGAAATGAAAAATGCGCATTCACGAATGAAATATCTTGCCACTTGTCATCAGTGATGAATTCCATCAGCAAATATTTTCCTGATTTGGAAACTCGCCAATTAAGTGCCTTGGTGCTAAGACCGTTTACAGTAGCTGAAGGAATATTTTCAAATACTGAATTCGAAATCAAGGTACAATTCCTAGGAATGCGCGAGAACAGCGGATTGTAGGTAGATTTCCAAAGCACGCAACTAGTAACATTTTGGGCAAAGATAGGTGAAGAGTATCCATTACTGTCGGAAAGCGCATTGAGAATATTGATCCCATTTGCAACAACTTATAAATGTGAAAGTGCATTTTCGACAATGATGGTAATGAAAACAAAAGCAAGGAATCGAATGAACTTGGAGCACGACTTGCGATGTGCATTGGCCGAAACTGCACCAAATATACCAGAAGTTGTTACCACCAAACAATACCAACCGTCTCATTGATGTATATCGCCTCTTGTTTGCATAGAATTTTGAATTAAAGGTACTGTTTTCTTTCGTTTATTTGTCGAGGGAGATTCCGGATACCGATCACTTCTCGTACTTAAGTCGGATAATTATGTAGTGAGAAGGGGTGTTTCCTTCAATTGCATGAGCACGTGAAACTACATGTGACATTTGTTTTTGAACTTTAGAGCGAAATGTGCAATAGTTATTACGTAGTAGTCTTTCGAAAATTTGGGGGTAAAAGTCTGGTGGGCAACCCCTTTGTGGGTAACGGCGTCTAAAAGGTTGGGAACCACTGCCTTACATGATCTATATATGTTGTTAGTTTGCAAGTGATCAGATAACACGAAATGGTGACATCTTGCAGTGCTCGTCTTCTTATTATTTTGTTCAGACTATGCAGACGGTTATAATAACAGTCGTTTCGCATTTAAGTGGCTTTTTGTTACCCAGTCAAAAACCAAAGCAAGATGAGATAAAAATGTCAGTTCATAGGTTCATAGGTTCATAGGATTGTAGAGAGCAGAAGGAGAAATCCTTTGTCAGCTCCATCGCTTCCCGATCATTGTGTGGAGGCCGCGATTCGATGTTATGCGGTAATCCACAAGGGACCTTGACAGCTACACTGGAAACTGCAAGGACCCATCGTACTCAAAAGATAAGAGTCTAACA